AAAATTGCAAGGCATACTATATGATATTACCAAAATTCATGATAAAGGAAACGAACTGTATCTCCAATTTCATTATATATAAAAATCTTTCAAAATTCGGCCATTTGAAGTCATATAGATGTGAATTATTTATAGGACTATATGGCAAGTACCTCAGGTTGGAACCTCAGCATGTCAGCTCGAGCCATTGCCTCAGCTTGAGCTATCCTCTGCCTGAAGGTTTGTGCCATTTCATCAGCCTGCCACAACAAAATAAATTTAAGCAGCATCCAACAATAGAAACTTAGCAGAGGAACGTGAATTTCTTACAAAAGCAACAATACCTTCTCAAAAACTAGCTTGGGATTCCGGATCATATCACCAGGTGTTGGTTCAAGCTTCTTCGTGGATAGGCTCACTCTACCTCTTTCACGATCATGGCTCAAAATCATCACCTTTCAGAATTAGATAATGCATTCAGATCTCACCATAATACTAGACGAAAAATTATTGGGAATAAAACAGAGCAAGTAACCTTAAGGGTGTCACCAGGTTGGAGAACAGTGGAAATGTCAGAGACACGGTCATGACTGATCTGGCTAACATGGAGAAGCCCATTAATTCCGCCAATATCAATGAATGCACCGTATGGCTTCAGGCTCTGAACAGTCCCCAGGACCACTGATCCAATTCCAAGCTGAGCTTGATTATCTGCAATTGCCTTCCGATTGCTGAGGACTAATCTAGACTGTTCCTCATCTATCTCCACAAATTTCAGAGGGAGCTCCTTATCAATAAGTTCTTCTGCTGTTGCTTTCTAATTTTCCATTAACGTAAAGTGAAAAAATAATTAATCAGTTACAAAAGATAAATAATGGATACAACCAATTCATTCTGTGAGTGTGCTCAAACCCATGTTACATATGAAACAGGTAAAAGAAATCATAAACCAAGACCAAGAATTGCTGAACTAGAATATTGCAAGCAGTAAAAGCACAAAAATAAAGATGCGTGCAAATAGTGCAATTCTAATAATGAATTGAATGAAGGAAAGGATAACAATCGTTAGGAAAAAGTCTAACCGTGGATATCTGTGAGAAGGGTACAAAACCACGAAGGCCTTCGACAATAGCCACCACACCTCCTTTATTTCCGCCAACAACCTGCATACAAAAGATTTTTTTGCTAAAAAAAGTAGGAAGTAGATTAGCCCTTCTTTAAGTGAATTAAAACCCGGTTTATCTTTTGGTGGATTTAGATGGCATATGTGAAAATCCTGTTATTTTATCAGCCTTGTACTGCTTAATCCCTTGTGTTATGAATGTAAACAAATGAATTATAAAGTAAAAAGGAGTACATAAAAGATAGAACGAGAAACAAAACATTGTGAACAAAGCTGATCAACTGAAGGATCTACTATTCCCAAAAGGTACTCATGATTTAAATGTTGCATATTCATCAAACAAAATATTTTAGATTATATTCTATGACAAACAAATAGAGCTAAATGCGCAATGTGCAAGGCTAAGATTTCCTACCTTACCCTTTACAACAACATCTTCAGCTTGAAGTTGCCTACAACGCTCCCAGGCAAGGTCATACTGAATGGATCTCAAGCTCAGGATCAAACTATCATCTGCAGCATTCTCACCAACAACAACAAACTCTTCTGTTAATCCAGGAAATATGCCAGCCTCAGACACATGCTTAATTCTGTGAATACAGGCTTCTTGGAGGGGAAGGTATGCTGAGGATTTAGCTGTAATATCAACAAGTGCACCATTGGCATCTGTCATAAAAACTGTTCCTTTAACCTGATAGAATACATTTGCAATATCAATTTTTTTCTGAACATGTGATCAGAAATGACAAAACATTTTGTAAACCAATGTTTTCTTCTACTAAAATCAAGTACACAAAAAATATAAGGTTGGAAATCAACTGAGGGTGATGACTCTAAAATCA